TTTCAAGTTGACAGTTCCTGCTGAAAAATAAAAGGAGTTATATCAGAATACTATCGCACATCACCCATAGCCATTCATGAATCAGTTATGAGACCTTAACATAACATACACAGGAGAGAGGCAAATTATTTCAGAAACCCAATTTTACTGCTTCTAAGTGGCACAAAACTAGATTTTTTAACCATCAATATCATTATCTTTATCATATGAGGATATTGGTACCAAAGTGGAGTATATTTGCCATAAAAATCCCCTAATTTAAAAAAAACAGAATTTATATTAATGGTTTGTATTCAGAGACTCAGTACAAATTTTCAGATAGCATCAACTCTTAAGAGACTTATAAAATTCAATGAAACCACTAAAGGTACTTCAGATTGACTCAGATAAAATTTAAAAGTGAATGAAGCACTGCTGCTGGAAATTGGATATGGACAATTGTGGCGCACTCAGAAAGAAAGAATGGGTGGCATAAGATGTCCAAGCATAGTGCCAAATTAGCTGATCTCATTGGGCAACTCAACACACAACTTGTCCAATTACTGTGGTCTGCCAACTGACAGAATTATGAACTATACGGTAACATTTCCTCTGAAATGCAATCATTAATTGATATTTTCCATTTTACTTCCCTATCTCCAACAAACCTTCGTCTGCAGAAATTCTCTAAGCTCCCAGAGTGCATTTAATTTTAATTCTACATTCCAGCCTCATCTCCAATTCGACGACCCATGGAAATAGGCTTTCACTACTAATCATCATAAATCCTTTCAGAGTTTGTATATCTATTATATTCTCTCTGACCATAACCACCACCACCCTCTACATTGGCTCTGCTGTCGTAAATACAGTCTTAGTATACTGGTCTCCAGACATACTTCTCTGGATGAGTCTGAGGTTTCAGTGGTTGGCGCGGGGAGTGGTGGGTGGGATGGGTGGGTGGACTGTTGTTGGTACATGCTGCATTAAGTGGCCAAAGTTGCACGGCAGGATCACAGAATGAATCATCCTTGGTATCATTCTGATAAATCTGTTGCTAATGTTTTCCAGAGCTGTAATGTTATTTTTTATAATGGGAGCATGAAGCTACATGGTTCACCCTGATTATGTCTGTTGCCTATGGGCAGATTTCCTGCTCTGGTGCCAATTGGAATCTTAAGGAACAGTTAAGGGCCTCTTCCAGCCGGGACATGTTGGAAGGATTCCACAGGGTCACTCTAGGTACTTGAATCATGCATTCTGAATCCCAGTGACTTACTCAATATTTACTCAACTTGTGGCAGATATTGTACCTTAACTTTGCATCCATATGTGTGTTCTTCATAGATGATAGTCACCATATCCTGAGCAGGTAGTCCTCACCTCCAGGTAAACATTCCTTAACCAGGTGGGCGGGGAGTTGGAAATGTTGTTGCACCTGTGATTCCCAAAGCCTGTACAGGTCCTGACTGCTTCAACTGTGCATGCACCTGAAGGATCCTTCTGCAATGGTCACAGACCAGTTGGACATTGATAGAATAGGAGCCGCTCCTGTTGAGAAATGCCCGTTGCTGGTGTACTGGAAACTTAGTAACCTCACGTATATAGTCAATCACACATCCACCTGCAGGAATCCACCAATGATCCAAAATCCAATGGCTCTTTCAGCTTGACTTGCAGGTCAGTCCATAAATGTGCACACTTGCTGGCCCGATTGAAGAGCTAGGACTGTGGTCACCACATTATAGCATCGATGAGCCCTAGATTGTGAGATCACACACATCCTGGTAGATCCCTGGAAAGATCCAGAGGGGATCCCATGGGGATCAGTACATCCTCCACCATGGCACAAATCAATGATCTCTCAGGAGAGCTGCAGTCTTCAGGAACACTCAAGTTTGGACATTTCAAGGTAACTGAGCTTCTGATGGTAGGTCACCCCTGTTCTCAGGAGGCACTTTGCAGACCCTCGTGTACTTTTCCTTGATCTCTAAGCTGAGACAGATCTTCCTGTCGGCCCTGAGGCTGCAGCTCTTTCCCTGTCTGTGTCTGCATCCCTGTTTATTCCTCCTCTTCCTAACTAAAGGTTCGAAATGTTGTGTGAATAAGGCTGAAAGCATGTGATCTCTTTCTGTTCCCAAAGCCTCATGTCCAAATGCAACCTCTATTTTCTACCCAGCCCTCCATTTCTTATGCTCAATTGCCCATTTGGGATCCTGTCAGCATCTCCCTGTGGTGCCGGTATTTTTCCCTCTCTTTCAATCTTTGCCAGTGTTCTCAGTGTTTCATTCTCCCTGACAGGCCAGACTGATCCTGTTTATGGTTCTTCGATAAAGCCAGCACTAAGCTCTCACTAACACGCCTTCTCCATTTACCATTTGTAAAATTGAAAAGCCTCCAAAAATTGCTGTCAACGGGCCAATTAACCAGTTTAATTATATTTCTGTCGTATTCAGATGTCACATCTTCCCTCCAGGTCAGCCCCTGTCAGGAATATTCAGCTTTGACGCAGAGACATCAGGCTCCTGTCCCACTTCTCTGTCACCCTCCTACTTCCCAGAGAACCCAGAAATTTCAGGCTTCACACAGTGGAACATAATTATAAAATTACTAGGAATAAGGCGCAAAACTAATGCCAGATCCAATTCGGTGCATTTGCAGAAATGTGTTTTTTTGGAGAAATAAAACATAAGGTCAAGTTTGCGATGAGTCCAGATTAGTAAGCTCTGAACGTTTATAAAGAACTGTTTATATTTCATTAATCAAGTCAAGGATTAAGATATATGCATAATTTATGGAAAAATATCAGTGAATATTAAGTTCAATGTCTTTCTGAGCTTTACAAAATCCAGCAAATTCAAATATTGCTGTTTCTGCCTATCATGAAGCTGGAGGCCTTCACATCATTAGCTTGCTAGCACATTAACCAATACGTTTTTCCATTTCATGCACAGAATAAGTAACTAATTTAAGAAAACACTGGGATTGCACCGTAATCCAGAGTTTGACGTAGTGATGATATCAATCAGACACGTTTGAGCCCTGATAAGTGGGCCCTGTTTCCTCCTTCCATCTATGTATTGATATCACTCGTTGCCAGCCTAATCTCCTTATAACCTTTCATTACCATTGCTGTGAAGGTATAAAACAGAATTATAGAATCTCCATTCTTTATGTCTGACTCATTTACCTCTCTCTAAATCCCATTCTTCTTCTGTTATTTCAGTTTCAGTATGCGATTTAAACCCAATTTGTACCATCAAGTTTAGAGTCTGAGTGACTCAAATCCACATTTACACCATGATAGAGACCCTCTTCACCATGGCACAATCACCAGTGGATATCCTGAGTGTCACCCCCAACCCAGCATTTTCCATTTTAGGAGGCGGAGGATTGGGGGCAAGCCATTGTTCACAAATATATGCTTCATGGAGATAGCTGGCCATTAAATGATCAGCTGCCTCCACTCAAACTGGATTTTGGGGGTCGGTGGTGTGTGGAACCAACAGCATGCATATTTCAGCAGGTCAGTTCTCAGTGATTTGGTTTGAATAATCAGGGACCCATTTGGAGAGCTGTGGTACCCCTCTGGATATAATCTCACAACATCTTAGAATAGATCATAGAATCCCTACAGTGTGGAAACAGGCCCTTCGGCCCAACAAGTCCGCACCGAGCCTCAGAGCATCCCACCCAGACCCGTTCCCCCCATAACCCACCTAATCTACACATCCCTGAACACAATTTAGCATGGCCAATCCACCTAACCTGCACATCTTTGGACTGTTGGAGGAAACCGGAGCACCCCGGAGGAAACCCATGCAGATACAAGGAGAATGTGCAAACTCAACACAGACAGTCGCCCAAGGGTGGAATCAAACCGGGGTCCCTGGCACTGTGAGGCCTGAATGGCAGAGATCCTCTGGAGGGACCAAGTCAAGTATTTTTTGGGAGTGGGTTTCAGTGATTTTTAGGCAAGATTGTTTACTGAGGAGAAGATTGTGTGCTAAAGGCACATAAATCCCTGGGAACTATCCAACTTGTCAAGGAATGAAAGGCACCTTTCAAGAAATATCAAACTTGTCAAAGAAACGTTGGATTCTTAAGACATTTCAAGAAGTGTCAAAGCAGTCAAGACCTGCCAAATTAGATTTTATGATTGAGAGAGCTTTATTCAATAGTGTAGTCCACAGTATGTAATAGAACTGTACTTTTTTTGTCCTCTGTGCATGATTACTGTGGATAGTAGGTGAATTGACATTGTAGGTGAAGGGGATACATCATGGATGGAAACAGGCACTAAGTGGCATAGGGATATGAGGGGCCATTGGATATGCGTAGAGAGGCATAGGGTATATAGTGGGCCAAAGGGACTGAGACAAGGGCATTAGTAGGGTTTTCAAGGATGGGGCATTGGAAATGTGTGGGGGTAAAGTGAGTGAAGGAAGGTGAAGCCTGGAGCAATGTATATTTTGTTCTTTTTAATATTTCTGGCCACAGTGCTGCAGCTCCAAGATAGGCTTTATACCTCATTAGCCTTGGGATGACCTATCCAGAATCACAATCTAAACTGGCCCTCAAAGCCAAAATTGGGAAATGGAGACAGCCATCTCTAAAGGTCAAGTTCACAGAGTCAGGAATTTTCCAGCCAGTTTCCAACTGATCCAGGATCAAAAATCAGGGCCTCCATGGGGGTTCCTCAAAAAGACTAGTTGAATTGCCGTACTATTGTTTGCCAGATTCCTTGTGGAGGGCACCATTTTGGATCATACCTTCAATTATGGCACATACTGCACACAACTCCATGAAAAGTCTGACAGAAGTCATGCTCAACCATTGTTTCAGTGCTCGAAACAAGGTCCTTTACATTCTGTCTAATATGGACACTCTTGTTACAGAGCTCTAACCAGCACAGTCCTGGCTTGAAATGCAATGAAACTCAACCCAGAACACATATACAGTAACTGCCTTTTCCTCTAAACGGAATGATATATTGGAGCGTAAGAAAGTGTTGTACATACCGCTCTTCACGGTTCTGTCCCACACAGACACGTCCACCATGCCGAGGAGTTGGGTTACTACAAGACCGCTGTCGGACCTGAAACCCGATTCCACAACTGGTACTGCAAGGAGACCACAGTGTCCAAGGGGTCCAGCCACCGTTCCTATTAAACAATGTGATCAAATTTTAGCTTGAACAATTACAATCAACAAGCAGAAGAGTGAAGATGTATATCATTGTTTGCAATATCCTGGTCTGCAACGTGTAAGATAAAAATCAGTTAGATTTTACAGTGAATGAACTTTACTAAATATATCTTAGGTCACATACTAGGTCAAGATGATGGAGATTTAACAGGAGTGAGCCAGACAAAATTTGACTGGAAAATATTACGTAAGTCATGGCTCTTTCCATTCTGTTTGCTTACCTAGAACAGTTTGCAACCTCCACACTGGCACCCTCACACTGTCGGCCTCCACACTGTGGAGATGGACTATCACACAGACGAGTTCTACAGGTACATAACCCGATGGTATTACCATCAGCATGGCTGCAGGATTTCCATGGCAACCAGGCTCCAAAATTACCATCCGTAGTCACGTTTCTTGTCTGAAAGACAAACAGCAAGTAAAATATCAGGGCACTCTAAAATAAGATTGAAGTTGATTATTTTTGGTTGGTCATTCTACAAATACTGTCAATTGTTTCATACTTTGAAATCAATAAGCTTCTCTTTGTGTATCACCTACATTATGATTAGTGATGATGATCATTGTGGCTGAATGAAACAAATTTTTGGTTGACAAGGGAGTCGAGGGTCATGGGGACATGCAGAAAACTGGAGTTAAAGCCACAGTTGGATCAGCCATGATCTTACTCACTGCCTGAGCAGGTGCAAGGGGTTGAATGGCCAACTCGTGCTCCAGTTTGGTGGAATTCTTTGAGGACATTACTTGCATGGTGGACAATGAGGAACCTATGGATGTGGTGTATCTGGATTTCCAGAAGGCATTTGATAAGGTGCCACACCAAAGGCTGCTACATAAGATAAAGTTGCACGGTATTACAGGTAATGTATTGGCATGGATAGAGGATTGGTTGACCAGTAGAAAGCAAAGAGAAGGGGTAAATGGGTGTTTTTCTGGTTGGCGGTCAGTGGTTAGTGGTGTGCCTCAGGGATCAGTGTTGGGACCTAAATTGTTTACAATTTACATAGATGACTTGGAGTTGGGGACTAAGTGTGGTGTGTCAAAATTTGCAGATGACACTAAGGTGAGTGGTACAGCAAAGTGTGCAGAAGACACTGAAAGTCTGCAGAGGGATATAGATAGTCTAAGTGAGTGGGCAAAGGTCTGGCAGATGGAGTACAATGTTGATAAGTGTGAGGTCATCCATTTTGGTAGGAATAACAAGAAAATGGACTATGTTTTAAATGGTAAAAAATTGCAGCACGCTGCTGTGCAGAGGGACTTGGGTGTCTTTGTGCATGAATCGCTGAAGGTGGGATTGCAGGTGCAGCAGGTAATTAAAAAGGCAAATGGAATTTTGTCTGCCATTGCTCGAGGGATGGAGTTTAAAAACAGGGAGGCTATGCTGCAGCTGTATAGGGTCCTGGTGAGGCCACACCTGGAGTACTGTGTGCAGTTTTGGTCTCCTTACTTGAGAAGAGATATATTAGCACTGGAGGGGGTGCAGAGGAGATTCACTCGGTTGATTCCAGAGTTGAGAGGGTTGGATTATGAGGAGAGACTGAGTGGACTGGGATTATACTCATTGGAATTCAGAAGAATGAGGGGAGATCTGATAGAAACATATAAGATTATAAGGGAATAGATAAAGTGGAGGCAGAGAGGTTGTTTCCGCTAGCAGGTGAAACTAGGACTAGAGGGCATCCCAAAATAAAGGGAAGCAGATGTAGGACTGAGGTCAGGAGGAACTTCTTCACCCAAAGGGTTGTGAATCTGTGGAATTCCCTGCCCAGTGAAGCAGTTGAAGCTACCTCACTGAATGTTTTTAAGGCAAGGCGAGATAAATTTTTGAACAGTAAAGGAATTAAGGGTTATGGTGAGTGGGCGGGTAAGTGGAGCTCAGTCTCAAAAAGATCAGCCATGATCTTATTAAATGGCAGGGCAGGCTCGAGAGGCCAGATGGCCTACTCCTGCTCCTAGTTCTTATGTTCTTAATTTCTTTGTTCTTATACATTCCAGTGATTATGTGAAACATATTGGCATAGTGCAATGTTTGTTATTCAATCTTTCGCTGATGGTGGATATTGTTTCTGATATATCTCTGAAAAGAAAATTGCTGGTTTAATCCTACAATATGCAGAACAGCTGCTCTGAGGAAGGGTCACCGGACCCGAAACGTTAACTCTGATTTTCTCTTCACAGATGCTGCCAGACCTGCTGAGCTTTCCCAGCAATTTCTGTTTTTGTTGCAGAAGATTAAGGTGGGAGAAGGAGAAAATGGCGTTGTAGTGATTGTAACTAGGTCAGACGGTGGACCTCATAGAATATGAGTTCCTGGATTGGGGCTGTTAATCTCGTCCAGTCAGGGGGTCCTGGCTGACAGGTAAGAACAGGAGTGTCAGAGATCCTGTTCACTCCTACAGCTGGCTCTGAGGAAGCTGGATCAGTGTCAAGGACTCTGCATGTGTAAACAGAGGGTGTTGGTAACGGGATAACAGCCTCTGTGGAATTATTTCAGGTACCTTTCAGTTTAATTTTCTCAAATGGAGATGCAATAGGAGGAACTAAGATGAAAACTATTAGCTACGTAAGACAGGACTAAAGTGAGCAGTATGGAAAATATTACAAAACTTCCATTTGTAGAATCTCTGGATTAAGTGTCATCATAGCAAGACTATAGGCTCGGATTTTGTAGTCAGCAGCAAGTAGCAGTGTTCACCTCTGACTTTGAAGAAAGCTGTTCACAAACATCTGGTGATCTCTGTGGTATAACTTTCCTATTTCCTGATATTAATTGGAATCTGATGACAAATCGAGGTGACCTCCAGACATCAAGCAACAGCGAAATCATCAAAATTGCCATTAAAATGCAGTTACAGCTTATTCAACAAGATTTTACTTTTTCAAGGCTTTTTATATTGAAATTTACAGAATAAAAATGAACATTCTTATCAATTCAATGGTTTCTCAATGATTGCAGTCTGGAGATATTTCAACACCTCAACGTTTGGAGAAACACAGAATCACCGACAGCAATTTCTGGATTTCCATATTGAGTGGCACACCAGCGGATTCCAAATGTTGCTATCAGTCTCAGAGGTTCAATGATGGCAAACACCAACAGTTGCGCCGTCATTACTATTTTGAAATCCGGGCCATGGTGGACTATGAGAATGCTTCCCAGATAACCTCAATTTTCTGTCACATTGAAAGAATTGCTGTTGGACGGATTGACAGATCAACAAAAATCCCCAATTAACGAACAATGCTGAATGCTCTACCTTTCTCCAGCCACTCAATCAGACACTTCTCGTAGCATGCGTCTTTACCACTGTTGCTGGCAAGCTGGACTGAATTACTGCTTCAGACAAGCCAAGATGCCAGGGCTGTTATCATTTTCCTAAGGAGTGCAATTAAAGAGGGGGTCTAATTTTAAAGTTGGCAGATCAGTTCAGCCAACTGCACAAAATCACTGAGATTGTTGGAGATGAGCACAGTGCCCATTGCAATCCCCTGAGAAGTTGTTGATACCTGGTGGATAAAGAGGAGTGTTTTTGTTTGTTTCTTTGGACTGCACCATGGGGTGAGTCAGTGCATGACGCAGATAGGCTCCCATAATCTGTGAATTATTTTTACAGATATTTCAGCAACTATATGACGATAACATTAATAACTGAGATTTCACTGCAGTGCAGTCTGCATACAATTAGGGGACTAACATGCTAAACATCAAAATATGCATGAGGAATCTTAACAAGACATCCTGTTTGCTTATTCCAATCAATCCCTCCCATGCACTTTATTTGATAAGATGGTCATTGAATTGAATGGATAAATCCATTAATATAATCTAACCCCAAACCCTGATATCTATACTTGTCACAAATATAAATTGCAGGGAATAGAATACATTCCAATAAATAAGAAAAATTCTGAGGATGGGCCTGCAATTGTAGTAAACTAAAAAGTCAAAAACAGCATTAAACTCCAAGATATATAATTCTGCAAAGATAGGTGGCAGGTCATAAGATTGGACAGAATATAAGAATTAGCAAAGAATTACTAAAAGATTATTTTTTCTTATTCATTCACGGGTTGAGGGGGTGGCTGGCTAGGCAGCATTTATTGCCCATCCCTAGTTGCCCAGAGGGCAGTTTAGAGTCAACCACTTTGCTGTGGATCGAGAGGCACATGGTAAGGCCAGGCCAGGTAAGGATGGCAGTTCCCTTCCCTAAAGGATATTAATGAACCCGATGGATTTTTCCAACAATCAACAATGGGTTCATGGTCATCATTAAATTCTTAATTCCAGATATTTTATTGAACTCAAATTCCACCATCTGCTGTGGTGGGATTCAAACCCGGGTCCCCAGAATGGGCAGCACAGTGGCTCAGTGGTTAGCACTGCTGCCTCACAGCGCCAGGGACCTGGGTTTGACTCCACCCTCAGGCGACTGTCTGTGTGGAGTCTGCACATTCTCCCCATGTCTGCATCGGTTTCCTCCGGGTGCTCCGGTTTCCTCCCACAGTCCAAAGATGTGCAGGGCAGGTGGACTGGCCATGCTAAATTCCCGTAGTGTTCAGGGATGCGTAGATTGTGTAGACATGGGGAAATGCAGGGGTAGGGGAATGAGTCTGGGTGGGATGTTCTTCAGATGGGTCATGTGGATTTGTTGGGCTGAATGGCCTGTTTCCATGCTGTAGGAATTCTATGATATATAGACAGCACCTTCCAAACCCGTGACCTCTACCAACTAGAAGGCAAGGACAGCAGATATATGGGAACACCATTACCTGTAAGTTACCCAACAAGGCACACACCATTCTGACATGGAAATGTGTTGCTAAAATCCTGGATATCCCTCCTTATTGGCATTGCCAGGGTACCCTCATCAAATGGACTGCAGTAGTTTGAGAAGGCAACTCTCCACAATTCTCTCAAGGGAAATTAGGCATGGGCAATAAATGCTGGTCCCGCCATTGTTGTCCAAGTCCTACAAACACTGCTGCCACGAAGAGGCAGGAACCCAAATTCAATTCGACTGTCTGTGTGGAGTTGGCACATTTTCCTTGTTTCTGTGTGGGTTTCCTCCAGGTGCTCCAATATCCTCCCACAGTCCAAAGATGTGCAGTTTAGGTGGATTGGCTGTGCTAAATTAACCATAAGGTCCAAGAATGTGCGGGCCAGGTGGATTGGCCATGCGAAATGCAGGGCTACAGAATAGGGTAGGGGGTGGGTTTGGGTGGGATGCTCTTCGGAGGGACACTGTAGACCCGATGGGCCGAATGGCCTGCTTCCACACTCCAGGGATTCTATGAAGTGAATTTTAAAAAAGTTGGATGAGGAAATGCTGTGAAGCTCTCTATAGTTAAATAGTCTACAGATTTGACAATCTCAGGTCACATGTACAGAATGTACTG